CGGCCGCCTTTGACAGCGGCCGACCCTGGGCACCGGGGAGATCAAACGGGCAACGCGTCGCCTGGAAAACACCCTTCCCTGCTGCCGCTACCGAAACTCCCCTGGACTGTCACCCGCTGCCATCCCGCCGCCCCCGCGGCGGAAAGCAAAAACGCAACTACAGTTCAGGCGCTTCATACTGATTCTTCAGTGTTTTAGTGCCTGTAACTGCACGAGTGTGCTGCTTTGGATCATGCACGCTCGCTACTTCTCATTCCTTCAGAGGAGTCAAATAGCAACACCAAGGTCAATACAATAAAAATCCTGCTGTACACATTTAAAATTCCTCGCTAGCATGTGGCTGGCCTTTGGCCAACAGTAGGTTTGATGTAGAGGCTGCTCTAGTATCTGTCCTTTACAGCAGAGGTAGCTGTATTTCCCTCACAATTTTCAAGTTTCTATTCTAACAGCTGATTTTCTCAGAGTGGGAAGCACTTCTGCAGCGTGTAATAAGAGCATTTCCAAACTAACAGGGAATTAAATTTTTAAGTTAGCACAGTCTATAGCAATCCAAAAAATACTCCAGATCAAATCCTTCCTGTATAAATACTAACGGCTGAATCTTATCCAATGCAACGACCATTATTTTCCATTTAATTCCTTTACTGCCAGAACCATCAGCATTTCAAGTCAGCAACAGTAGCAGCTGACAACACCGCAATTATAGCATATTTTATTTGAGCCAGCAGCTGGGGTAAACATTAAACAACTTGTTTGCTTCAAACAAAATAAGTATTCTCATATCTCTGCACTTCTCTTTTTTTCGAAAAGCTCAACGTAAAAAAAGAAAAAGCTTTCCTTACTGAGCCTCATCGGACTGAAGATTAGTCACGAGCAGTAGGTGACTGCTGGAAACAGCTTTACCCAGGCAGAAACTCTGACAGTTAACTGTTCCTTGTGTGCACAAATTACAGCTGTGTGTGTAATTAATGACATTCCCTATAAAACAGCCCCATGCCAAGTTATTTGCAATGCAACTCCACAGCATAAAGCAGCATTTCTACACACGGTCGTTGCTCCTCAGCACTCACACTGATTTCTTCCCCACCAGCTCTTCGGTTAACAGCCCCTCAGCCTGTCCCTCCTCTGTTTCCAAGAGCCTCCTGCCCTTCTCCTTACACTCCACGAGGGCTCCGCTCCCTGGGCTCTGCGCCGCACTCGCTGTGCTCTGCCTTCAGCACCCCCAGTCCAAGAAACTGCGCCCCCGCTCTGCCAGGCCTTTGGTTTCTCTCCCACCTCATTCCTCAGACTCTTTCTCCTCGCAGAGGCAATTCACCCGCAGTTCTGTGTTCCTCTCTCCACTACATTCTCTGCTCCTTTATTCTGTCAGAGTAACAGTGTTTCTAAAGCTGTACCGAGAGAATGAACAGACATACTCTATTATTTGCTCATAACATGCCTGCTCTGTATGTTCCTAGCCTCACTTTACCCCTCATCTCTTTAATTCCTTCTGCTTGTTACTATCCAAAACATACTGTAACATCTTGTCACTCAAGAGCTTTTTTCATATTATGTAAAACATCAAACATCACAAGCTTAGCCAGTAAATGGAACTCATTAAAATGACTATGCAAAGCTATCAAACACTTACTTAGGAATGACTTTATTAAAAATAAAATGATACTGAAGCAAATCCTGAAGTCATATTTAGAAATACAGCCACTTTCAGCATTCAGAAATAGACATCCAGTTACATAAATATATATATTTCAATAAGGCATCTGAGATGATTCTGCCCGAAAAAAAGGAAGGAGGGGTACATTTACAATACAAACCACATCTGCCACCACTTTACTTGCAGTCTACCAAAAATGGCTACACATTTTTACAACCAAAAACATTTCATTGCTTTTATCGTAGAGTTTAGTCACTTTCATGGCATCCTCCTGTGAAGTTTTCAGTATATCTGGAATACATATGTATTTTTTTTGTTGTGATTTGCAACAGCACCTTGCTTTCTGGCTGACATTAACAGGGCTGCACCTTCACATCTGCATTTTCAGCTTGTTGCACTATGGAGCACAATTATAGTTATCACCAAAACCAACGGTACTCTTAAGGTACCGTTTGTAGAAAGATAATTTTCAAAGGTGCATTTTAAACTAAACTCAACAGGCAAAACGAGTACAAATATCTACAATTTCACTGACTAGGAGATTACGAGAATTGTGTCTTCCTGGAATCTGTTAAAAAAAAAAAAATCTAAAGTGCTTTTAAAATATATCCTCCTTGATTCAAAGGACAGAATTTTATATAAATCATCAGCTGCATATCAAGATTATTTTGCTGCTTAAAGAGACATTCTAACAGAAAGATAAATATTATCAGCATTTAATTTTTGCTTTGCAATTAGGCATTATTATTTTAAAGATTTCCAGACAAAAATCCCAACCGTACAGAACCTCCTTATTCCTTGCAGAAAATTAAGAAGTAAATGCTTATTATTGCAAGGTTATCAGCTTTTAGCAAAGTTCAGTGTTAGTATAACTAGCATTGGTACTAATTAAACTTTTCATTATACTATGGGGTTTTCCAAAAATTTCATACAGGTATTTAATGCAAGCATGCACTAACCTATAAGGTGAAAAGTTAGCTTATATAAGCAGTGGAAGTTCTCACACAAACAGTACAGTACCTTACCAACCAAATTCATCGTTTAGAAATTAAGTCACTGTGTTATTCAAAAGAATAAACAGAAAATTTTATACCCAAGGTAACTGTTTTACAGTATTTGCTAGGCACTACCTGATTTTTAAAGCTTCAAGTGAAAAAGAGACAAGAATAGAGGTAATTTAAATTCAGGAGTTGAATTTTCTTTTAGAATTTAGTTTCTGTTTCTGCTACAGACTACCCAATTCCATTTTACAGTCAATTTCACATTACAGTCTTGTAATTGTAATATCAAGAGTTAGACAATACTCGGCCTACTAGTATTGTCTAGATCTCCAGTGGGAGACAAAAAAGACAGAAATACAACTTCCTTTGAAGAGCATTATTGATTTATTTTCTCTGAAGTTCTGCAAAACCAAAAGGTGCATAAAAATTTAAAGATGGTTAAGAACAATTACTTAAAGGTTAATTGTTGCCTGACCCCAGAAGATTAAACATTTGAGAGAACTTTCAAATAAAAGGCAAGCTTATGCAGAACAAGCGTTCCATTCTGAAATGCATAACAATAGACTTCCCCAATTGTTAGTTAATATTGCTAAACAGCATTAAAAATGTGCATGAGAAGAGTAGGATACTGATATATTGTATGAACTATAGATCTTTTTACTCCATATCCAAAATAACAAAGAGAGAGCCTCTGCAGTCAAGCCTCAAGTTTGCCAGATTCCTCATTTTCCATGCCTAAATCTTTAAGAGCTACATCTGCAGTGCCTTTGATGCCATATTTGAAATAAGACTCCAGCTCTCAAAGCCAAACAAGACGTGACAGTTGTGTCCATGTTGCCCACAAAGGCAGAAACTGAGTGCAAGGTCCAACTTCCGTATTATCCATGTACACATTTTCCCAAAGAGCAGGCTCTTGGTCTAATCCTAACTGCAGCCAGCAAACAAGCCACCACCATCGACATGGGGCCCATGGAGAATATGAAGAGACAGCACAGATGTACTCTTGGACATCTGCTTGGTCATTGTGAAGAGCTCTGAGTCAGTCAGCCAGAGCGAAGAGACTTCTTTTGCTTTGTTTTAGGGAAATAGGTCCCATTTATAAGCTGAGATAAAACATCTACATCCAGACTCTGAACCCTCCTTTCATGGCCCCAAGCCAGCAAGCATGGCATAGGCTTTACAGTTGGTATCTGCATTTTTACAGTGAGCCCTGATAGTCAAAAACGTTTGGATCCAGGAATCAGAATTGACTTGATCCAGTCTATGAGTTACTTACAAAAAAGAATCCTCCAAGATTTAAAAAAAAAAAAGTGTCATTTAGTTATTTTTAAAAAGTATTTTTCATTATTTATACTCAGGTACAGTGTTTCTTTACCCTGAAAATGCTAACACCCTTTGATTCATTAATGCTTTGGTATTAGATCATGTCCTTCACTCACTTGGTAAATTGAATGCTTATTCACTGCTTTTACCAAAATAACAATTATTATTCACTAATGCATTAACATATGTTTTGGACCATTCTCACGTAATTAACATTTGACAAACTGACAGTCACAGCTTACAGATGGAGAGGTGGGAAGAATACCCAGCAAGTTTCAATATCAAATTGCAAACTACAGTGTTGTCAGTTCATTTGTGGAATGCAACAGCTGACGTAACAAAATCTTTTATTTCCAGAAGTATCAAGGATCATTCTCACTGATTATGAAAGTCTATGCAGTTGGTGTTTTTCTGGAAAGAAAGTAGCAAAATAAGCTAGAAACAAAAGAAAGCTGAATTTAATAAGTGCAGTACTTCTTCATGTAATCTTTCTTGATGTGGTATCATCTCTTCAAAGCTATTATTTTGAATGGACATGGAGCTAAAGTTAGACCAAACCTTCCCTCCATAGATGGTTTTGTAGCATTTTCAGGGTACAAAAACGTAAAACTTTGCATTAGACTTGCAAAAATTAAGAACAGCTCCATTTTTGCCAGCTGCTCTCCCATGCACACACGTTTACCTAAAGAACAATTAGAAAGAGACATATTACTGTTTTTATACTGTTGATCCATTTGTTAATACATACACAGTTCACATAACATCTTCCAAACAGAGAGGGACTCAAACTACAAGCTATGAACTTCCAAAACTGGTCTCCGTATTAGAGTCTGAGCCTTGCTCAGCTTTACTGCTTGATGTGAACAGCATTTACCTCTATTATCAAAGTACTATTAATCATTTCTCATTTTTGCCAGGCAACTGGAGCCTTTAGAAACCCAGCTACTCTGCTTTGCAAGTCACCCACTGTAATAATAAAACAAGTTCTACAGTTAGTCCTGTGAGTCCCTTCTAAATTTCATGCCTTGAAAGCCCTACACGTCAAAAAATAATTCCCCTCTCCTCCAAAAACAACTACTGAGTGCATCTGGATATCTTACCCATTCCAAAAGGAATGAAGGCCTCTTTCTTAATTAGCTCGCCATTTTCATCCAGAAATCTCGTCGGCTGAAAGTCATCCGGTTTCTCCCAAATATTAGGGTCTCTGTGTACGGACCACAAGTTGGGCACAATCACACTGCCCTTAGGAATAGTATATCCTTGCAGCACTTTAAACAAAAGAACAAAGACAGAGGATCGGACAGGTTGCTAGGAGCAAATACCAGAGACTTTTATACTTAAAGGAGGACCAGAATACTTCACAATAATGATACAGATCCCTAGCTGTGGACTGCAAACAGAGCAGGAGCTTAAGGCAGAGATGCAAAGGTGACCTCTGCTGCTACCTGAATTCTAGACCCGCTGGGTCAGCATACGGCAGGTCAGAGCAACTGGAAAGACACCAAGTTATTCCAGCAGCTCCCTGCAAGCAAAAGGGAGAAGAGAAGCTTCTGTTGCATTGCTCTTCTTCAAGGCTTCATTCAGTGTGCCAATATAACAGCAGCAGCAATCATTAGAAATGCACTCAGGTGAACAGAAGTTTTTTGACCCAGTTTTCTCCTGTTCCTGTGCAGTTACAGTGCCCCATCACAGTGAAGACAGAGAGTAAGAAAGAGTGATTGGTTTTGAACTGTAATCTCAAAAGGATTTTGAAGTGACCAGTCTAATTTCAGCTAGTTGCATCTCACTGTCCTGCAAGCTAAAACAGTTAAATAAGCTGATCAACTCAAGACTGCATTTGAAGGCAAAGTATTGCCAGCTCCCACTGACTTTAGCTAGTTCTCAACTATATTTATGACAACATACAGCCAACACAAAGACTTTGGAAAGGGTATTTATTACTGTTTTCAGGAGACGTGGAGCTCAGAAGTACGTGCCTTCCAAGCTCAGCAAACCGATTACTCCCAATTAGTATTTTCAAGGCTCTATGGCAGATGGCCAGAAACTTCTCCACTGTTTAAGGTGCAAAGGTGGACTCTCAGCTTCCAATTACCACTGAGCAAATCAGTCAACAAAATCCAACCCCCAGAAAATAAAGCTCTCTAAATCTTCTTGTGGATATTAGGTCAGACATACTGCTTAACTACATTAGTATCTCGAGCCCACCTATTCTCGGTAAACTGCATTTTAACATACCTGGGTTACACATATTAAGATATAAATGAGGTCTTGGCATATTCTCATCAGACATCCCATCAGATGTTCATCCACAGAAGAAATACTGTATTAACAAGTCTCCACAAACGCTTACCAGCAGTTTCTGAGGCCATTCGAGGGATAGAAAGAGGAACAACTGCAGTCATCCTTTGCACTTCCATAATGGTTGCCTCTGTGAAAGGCATTTGAGCCTTGTGGGTAAGAGAGGGAACTTTGTCACGTCCTAGAACTGCTTCAATTTCTGCATGAACCTTCTCTATTCAAAGGGATTGAGAAGAAAAAGATGCACAGTAAGTGAGAAGGCATTATCTCAATTTCACTTGTCTACGCATCATTGTTCACACAGATTTGTCAAAGATGACTGCAAGACATATCCCTAACTGAAATAACTATGCCGACAGAAGCCTCGAGAACAGATTCAGTTAAGGACAAAAGCAACCAAATACAATCTTGACAAGCGTCTAGACTAAACTACTTAGATGTCAGACACTTTTTTATTGGAAAAGTACAGGAAAAGTTCTACTCCAATTCCAAATGTAATCATAACCTTAGCTTACAGGGTAACTATATGGCAACTTAAATGGTGCAAATATCAAGCTTCTGGCTGCTCTGCATCAAAAAGAACAAAAAGAGAAGGATCACAGGCTGCAGGCACTGCATGCCAGGGCTGGTTTCCGGTCCCAGGAAAGAACCATTTCTCAGAATTGAAAAAGATGGTGAAGAGATGGGAAAGCTTTTAATGCAGTTGCTTTACTTCGTTCTCAAGCAGGAATTCTGGTCTATTACCGCACGCATTAATGCCATGCAACTTTTTCCTGCTGTTTCCTACTTTCAGTTTACAGAACCTAAAGTCAGTTATTTCTCAGTTCCCCAGGAAGGTCTCAGAAAATGCTCCTTCCCCCAGACAGACGTTCTGCAAAGGAAAAAGAGCTGTTAGCGATCTAATCTCCATTCTCATTCATCCAAGGTAAAGTGTCAAATTATTGGTTAGCCCCTTTCATCTCACGAAGGCTGGGCACACAGGCAATTCTCTTTAAAGTTTCCAAGAGGCAAGATTTGCTTCATTCTTGTACCAGACAATGCTAGTTTTATTCCAGGTAGCTTGGAATCTGGCTGCATACGTGAAAGACAATCTTGAAAGAGGGGAACACATCAATCAATACTAAGCATTAATCGAAAATAATGAAAGACAGTTTTCATTTTTTACTCTTGATACTCTGAGTATTTTGTGGCTGTCCTGTTTGCCAATTCCAAGATTCAGAATCCAGCTTTTGTTCCCCCCTCTCCCTAGCACTGATTCAAGATTAAGGAAAAGCTTAATGCAAGAAGTTTCTGTGTTTTCAAAGACATGGAAAGCATTCAAAAAAAGCGTACTGACTGTACTCAACAAACACTTGCTGCCATCTATTGGGTTTGCTAGGAAAATATGTTTTCCTATGAGGAACATACAGCAAAAAGAGATTTGCTAATGGTGATAGCATTCTGGTAACCAGTTTGGGGGTTTTTGCTATTTTTGTCACTGACAGATTATGGTGCTGCATTCAGGTATGCATGTCCACAGTAATTTAAATGAGGAAAGTTTTAGATATTCAAAAAAAGTTTTAATTAGAAAGACTGCGTGTCTCATGTCAAATACCACACAAGTATTTTATCCTGAACAACAGGTCTTAGGATTTTGGAAAGATAAGTGGAATCATACAGAAAATTGCCAAATTGCTGCTAGCATTACCGACCAACTGCAAAAACTGAGCCTTAGAGACTCCTCAGCTAATAGCATTTGAACTGCTCCACTATTACATAGACACACATACATATGTGTCGGAGGGGGGGGGGGGTGTCGAGAGGATGAGGCCAGTCTCTTCTCCGTGGTGCCCAGCAACAGGACAAGAGGCAACGGGCACAAACTGAACCACAGGAAGTTCCACCTGAACCTGAGGAAAAACTTCACTGTGAGGGTGACAGAGCACTGGAACAGGTTGCCCAGAGAGGTAGTGGAGTCTCCTTCGCTGGAGAGATTCAAAACCCGTCTGGATGCGATCCTGGGAAATATGCTCTAGAGGACCCTGCTTGAGCAGGGATGTTGGACTAGGTGATCTCCAGAGATCCCTTCCAACCTCAGCCATTCTGTGATTCTGTGATATATAGATATATATACACACACATCTATAAATCTTATTTACTTCCACAGATCTCCAGAAATCAAGGAGCAAAACTAAGTCAGGGGATAGACCAAATCAAAATCTCACTCCTCAGTGCTTTCCTGTATGTGCTTGTATGCGTGTGCGCATGCACGCACACACACACCTCTTTCACGTAAAAAGCAAAACTAGATTCCACAGACACGCATGTTCTGTTTTTTGTGATTTTTTTCCCTCTGATAACTCACCATTTGCCTTTCCAGAAAGTGTCTGCAACATTTGCTACTGCTGAAAGTTATGTAATTCTGGTATTTCCTTTAGGGGATAAGAAAAACCAGAAAAAAAAAGTGGGCCATATCACCAGAAAAAAAGTGTGGGCCATATCTGATTCCCAAGCAATTAGGATAATACATAAGGAATGGAATACTAAAAATAAAAGAATTCTGCTACATAACTGAGTGATACTCAGTTTACCCCGGAGTACTGTGCTTAATCACATTATTTGACAAGAGCCACAGCATAAGGAAAGGGTTATCAGAGAGGTTAGAAGTGTTAGAAATCAGCAGAAGAGAGAAAAATAACAGGCACAGGTATAGTAGCAGACAGTAGGGGAGGAGGGTAAAAAAAAAAAAAAGACAAAATCTTTCTAAGCCTCATTTAGGTAGTTTAGAACATACCTAATTCATGTAACTGCCTAACTGTCAAGTTAAGAATGGTAACACACTATCATTAAAGAACAGAAAAATGAGTCCATGCAATAAAAGACTACAGATTTGTCCTCAGTGAACTCTCTGTCTCCCATATACTGAACTAACGCCCTATTTTGCAATCTTTGCTCAACCATTTGAGTCGACTTAGTACAATTAAGTATGATCTTGACCTATTTAAAGAGATCATTCCAGACAGATGCTGTAAACAAGTATCTATTGGCTAATTTGCAAAGTAGCTGCAATACCTCAAAATCTAGAGTACTTGATAAAAGTATTCCAGGTTTATGCTGTTTTCAGATAACTTGAGGTTTATTCTTCTTCACTTTGGGTTAGCAGAAAGCCTGCCTAAAGCAGTGGTTTCTGGGGGAAATGTTTCACTAGTATAAATTGAAGTGGAATTACTTAATTAGAATTTGTCCATCCTGCCAAGTTTTCCAGCATGCATATACCTGACAACCTTTTTATTAAGAATCAGTTGTTACATGGGACTTCAGGAGAAGCTGTTCCTAAATCAGTTGCTTTATTTTCCTTAAATTCAACTATCTAAATTTGCTTCAAATATAGTTTCAAGGCTTACTAAAGAAAATCTTGTATAAAGCAAGCTGATCATAGTGCCATTGAATAATCTGGGTTGCCAGAAACTTTTGGAGGTCCTCTAGTCCAAACTCTCACTTAAAGCAAGACTAACTACCAAGCTGGATCCAGCTCTGAACTTAGATCAGACTACTCAAGGGTCATATCCAGTTGAGTTTTGAATACTTCCAAAGACAGAAACTCCATAACTCTCTCAGCAATCTGTTCCAGGGTTTGATCACCTTCATAGTGAAAAAAATTTCTTAGTATCTAATCAGAATTTTCTTGCTGCAGACTGTCTCTGTTGCCTCTCTTCCCTTCATTGCACACCTTCAAGAGGAGTCTGGCTCCATCTTCTCTGTATCCCCCAACCAGGTACTTATACTCAACGTATGGTCTCCCTTTAGCCTTCTTTTCTAAAGGCTGAACAAAGCCAGTTCCCTCACATGCCACTTGTTGCAGCCCCAACCATCCTGGTGGCCCTCCAGCGGACAACTGCTCCAGTATGGCAATGTCTTTCATGTACTGGGGAGCCCAGAACTGGACACAGTGCTCCAGATGCAGTTTCAAGTGCCAAATAGAGGGGAATAATAATTACTCTCCCTTCTTGAAGATGAGCATGACATTTGCCTTTTTGCTAGTTATCAGCAACCGAACCGACTGCCATGACCTTTCAGGACTGATAGGGAAAGGCCTTGCAACCAGATCAACCAGCTGCCTCAGCTGCATCTCAGCTGGTCCTGTGGAACTGTAGAAGTCCAATTTGCTTAAGCTGTCTCTAATTTGATCTTCCTCTACAGTGGGTAGTATTTAATTTCCCAGACTCTGCCACCAGGCTCAGGAAACTCCCTGCTGAGGGAGGGGTAAAAGCAAACCTTACCAACAATATTTTACATCTCTTATATACCTTATATCTCTACTAAATAATTCATAAAGCATTTGACAAACGACAATTAGAAGCAACTACAGGCCTGAAATGTCACAACCGTCAAAGCTTTTAAAACACGCCAGGCTTCCCCTGAATTACTGAGAAAAAGACAAAATTGTCCCAAACCAGACGAAATGCAGAGATGCAGCATAAAGGTCGATATAGACTGTTAATACACAGCAGTAATCTAAAGATCACCATAGCAGAGCAGGACTACAGAAGATGTTTTATTATATACCAACCTTTCAAATTATGCATATACATGTGTATAAACAACCTCTATATTGCTCCTGTTTACCCATTTGCTTCCACATCTTCCTGCTAAAATTTATCTGAAAATCACCTGGAGTTTTACAGTCTGGAATCAAACACCTAGAATAAAAATTGTCTTACCTTGTACTTCTGGGTAGAGAGACATATAGAGCAGGCACCACAACAACGTGTTGGAAGTGGTGTCTGTGCCTGCAATGAAGAGGTCACCAATGATAAAAAATAAGTAGTCTTCATTAAAACTGCTCTCCTTGTTCCTCTCTTCCTCTGCATGGAGGAAATACATATCAATGAAGTCCCTGGGATTTGCTGCATCCAGTGTATCCCTGTGCTGTGCAATTATTTTCTTTAGAAAAGCAGTAATATCTAATTCTGTTTGTCTAAGTTCCCTGAAAGGCCCAAAGGGAAGGTAGTACAGCCAAGGGCAGATATTGACCAGGATCATAGAGCTGTTCACACTTAGCTCCAGCGCACGGGCCATGTTCTTCAGCATGGTCTTGAACTCAATGTCTTCGTAGTTAAAACGCCTTCCAAAAGCCATGGAACAGATAACGTTGGACACTGCATTGCGAATAATCGGAAAGGGATTAAATGCATCCTTTCCATGCTTTAGCATTTCTTCCTTTATGAACTTCAGCTCCTCAATGATTTTAGGTTCTAAGCTAAGCCTTCCTACTCCAAAATGACGAAGCGTTGAGAGAGAGAATTTCCTCTGTTGCTTCCAAACAGGGCCATAAGGTGCAAAAATAACACCTGGAAGAGAAAGGGAGAGTCTGAAACCAACCTGTTCTATTTTCAAGAGGGCATAGTTAAACAGGCCTGCAACTCAAGAGCCAGAACAGAGGGAAAAGGTATATGGCAAACCTGTCCAAGCATAGGACTAGAAGCTAGAGAAAGACGCCAGCTCTCCAGAACTTTTTGAGCCTTGGGAAATCTTGTCCCTCATTTTCCCAAACAATAAAATGAATATAATAGCTACATCAATAGTTTTATTAGTCTTTGCAAGACACTAATAGATGGAGAAAAGGTACTACAGAAGCTTTATTACAAACAACAACAATTTCGCAAGAAATTTTCTTTTCAAAGTCTTGAGACAAATTCCACGAGCAGGGCTGAACAGCAAGATATTAAACAATTTGCTTTGCATTTCTTTTCCCTTTTGTGTTGCACAAATTAATACTGTTTGTGTACAGTAAAGTACAAGATATGTACACTGCAAACAAATTGGGAACGTGAAGGCAGATTCAGAGTCACTTGGTAAAAACATACTTGATTTGCATGTCTACAGTTTTCAAGTCTCTAGGCACATACTCTGCATGAATGCATCATCATGATGTAAAACTTGAATGCAATTCCTTAGCTTCAAATATAAACATTGTTCACTTACAAATAGGAACATCTTGTTAGATTAACAACTGCACCAGAGATGTTGCTGCGTAACTGAAATACACTGTCTGCTATTTGTGATGCACTCCAGTTGCCAATACCTGAACATGGTTAACCTGAGAAAGTTTAAAGCTATCAAAGCAAGAGTTACTATTGTTTTTTTAGTAAAGTGACATCACATCAGTTTTTTCTAGAAATAAAAAATCATTTTGCAAAAGCAACATCAATTCTTCTGTCAACTGCAGAACATTACAGCGCCTAAATATTTTTAGGTTGTACTGTATATTTAGCCAGGACCAGGGGGAGAGAAGGTAAAGAGCAGCTAGACATTAGATCCAGTTAAACTGTGCTGTAAAACTGCATGTTCAGGCTCACGGTGCATTTTTTTCCTCTCTCCTGTGCTGTAAATTAAGTAGGCGTTTCTTGTTCTCTGTAGACAATTCCACGTTAGCCTTGTCTGGTCATGATGGCACAGGGGTAGCCAGTACCGTCAACACATACCGCTTACAAAGAATTCATGTAAATACTGAAATAAAATATTTTATAACCAGTTAACAGCCTCTGTGAGTGGGTGCTCCACGGGACTCCAAAGGGTCAGGAGTCTCTTGTCCTAAGCTCGCTGCAGTGTGAAAGAACAGCCACGGAGAGAACGTAGCTCCCTGCGTTGCACTGTTGTAGGGACATCACACTGCTTTACGTTTGGTTTTATTTGGAAGGTCATCTCAGCTGTGTTCAGGCCTGAGGGAGACAGTTATGTGATGATCATCCAGTTGTCCACAAAACACATCAAGCTGTTACACATCAGTTACGTTAGCTGGGGCAATGAGTTGAATTATCCTAAATACCATAGTATTGTAGAACTAACCTCAGGTGTAGTGTAAAATACTCAACCGGGAAAAGTCAGCTCAGGTTCACCAAGGCCATTGCCCCAGTTCAACCTGGGCCTTGCTGGCCTGAATCTGACTGACGTGGAACTGTGCAGAAGTCTCTACAACACCCTTACCAATGCCCTAGTCCCAGAGTGCTTATTAATTCTGGATCAATACTAGCCTATGCTAAGACTCAGAGGCAGTGAGTCCTCCTGGAACGCGGAAGTAATTCTGTAGAAACCAGTTTGGGGCCAAGGCTTACGCTGCATCCGCTGCCACCCAAACTGGGCTAGATCTGAGCTGGCTCTGGTATGAAGATAAGAAATCTTTGTTCTAGTTGCCTGGTTCTCCCGGGGCCAAGGATGCCACGCGAGGCCTCTCAAGTTAGTTCTGCGAGGGCCCTGTTAAGAGCTGGCAGAATAGCTGCATTCGTGTAGCATCACTTCTGAAGTAATGAACTCTGGGGGATACGAGCTGGTGTTCGCTGCTGTGTTTGTGGCCCTGTTAAGCTCCGGGGACTGGTTTCTGCTTCTGCGTTTCAGAGCAGTGGTTGTGCGGGCCTGTCCATCCTTAGGGTGCAGCAGTTTGTCAGAAGCTGCTGGAAATCACATCTGCTCTCAATGGGCTGTTTTGAGTTTAATTGTGGCAAATAGTAGGCTACTCAAACTCTTTTATAGTGGATCTGAAGCAGAATTACTTTATCTGGATGGCAGAAGCTGTAGAACTAAGGGGTTAAAGGTGGCATGTGTTCTTTGAAAGTTTCGGGCTTTTAATTTTTTATAGTGAAGGAACAACATGACTCTTAAAATCCAACCTGTACGTATTGTCCATTAAAACTATATGAGCTATAGGTTATTTCCTTTGTGTATAGGCCTCTTTAGTTTGACTTGGGAGCCTTCTGTGTGTGGTTTCAGTAGTCCATGGACCAGACTTTACTACAGATCTGGATGGCAGCAGTTGCGTCCTTAATTACTAGGAAAGAAAGTGATAGAGGCAAGATGGTCGTGTAACTTAAGACCTACAGCTCTCAGCTTTTGTTCTACAGTACTGGGTCACTTTGAATCAGTAAGGGTCAAATTAGATTCTTAGATGATGTTCGCTCAGTTGAAAAAAAAAAAAAAATCTTTCTGTTCAGTTTCCAGGCTTTATTCCATCCTATTGTGAAGAAGTACTTTGGTCCGTACTGTAATCTAGGCTTACCTACATAAAAATTACCAGAAAGAGGAAATGTGACAAAAAGAGGCAACGTCCTTCAAAAAATTCTAGCTTTTTATAAGATAATAATTTCTATTAGAACAATAAAAACCTAAAATAAATAATTTCTTTTAAAGTTCACAGGTACTCAAATTGTTTTCCTCTCCTTTTCAAAAGTTGTTCAGATAACTTTCCTTTTTAAAGTTAGTGGCTAGCTACCCCATTTTCAACTTGGTACTGTTTGACTAATATCTGCATTTTTTTCATAAATCTACTCTAGTGGAGTTAATAGAGTTAAAAAGCCTAGGTTTCAAGTCAATGTACCTTATTCCTAGCATTCTGTTATTGTGATCTATTATTATGATCTATTATTATTTCTTCTACTTACAGCAATATAGATTTATGCTTATGGTTTTTGGCTTATGATATAAAATAAGCAAATGTTACAGAAAATAAGTCCAGGAAATGCTGTTGCCTGTAATTTCTATTATACAGATTTCAGATGAACAAAACTACATAACAGTAAACATTCCCTTGTCTCTCTGTGTAACTCTCAGATAATATTAACCCTGAAGTCATAAACCAATAAATTATGTGCAACATCTAGCTCCAACAGTTGTTGCACTTTCTACTAGTTCAGCCTAGGAAGACAGCTACTGTTGCAACTGTGAAATTCGGTTGCCGTGGGCAGATCACAACCGAAGGTCCCATATAGGGTCTGTGGCATACATCTTTAACTGGTTTAAATTTATGGGAGGATTCTCTTTTAAACTACGTTTACTATTATAGTTTGTCTTCACCCTGAGTTGACTTGTTGAGCATATTATGAAACAGGGAAGGGCTTGTCTCAGCTGTGTGTGGCTTATTATTAATAAGATGCAGATAATACATTTGCCTGGAGGAAGGCAAACAGAAGTATCAGAAATAGCAGATACTGTATTTCAACAACCCTGTGGCAAAGAGGGGAGGACTTCTTGACCGGATGAGACATGCAGTCAGAACTTAAAGGAGAATCTGGACATGAATTCTTAACCAAAGACTTTTGTACAAGTGTGCTAGATCTTCAAAAAGTATGGGGAAGGAGAAATATTGGAGTTTTGTTTGTTTGTTTTAGTAAAATGTTTTTTGTATTCTGGAGCTGTGAGGGGTAGTGAAGACTGACTCTAGGGCAGATGAAGCTTGAGTGGTCATCAGCCTTTATAGTCCTCGTCCATCAACATCTGTTGTCTGCCATGAATTTTGTGTTTGTCAGTGTCCCCAGTTAAGAAAGATTTAGAATTTTTCATACAAAAAAGGAGGGGAAAAAACCCCTTCCTCATTGGTTCCTTTTGTATCCATACCACAGAGTCTTTTTGCTTGTTTGTTCATGTGTTTAGTTTTTTAATTGGTTGCACTGAAGAGTTTTAATTATCAGTTCACAGAGACTAGCCATCTGAAATGAGCATGAACTCATAATTGTGGGGTGGTGTTGCTCTGGAATTTATTACGAGTTTTTCAAATTCTTTTTTATAGTACGGTTATCTGCTGTGCTGAGTATATCTGACTTCTCACTCCATGCAGGGATTTTCTGTGAAAACACTAAAATACTATTCCAGTATTGTTGCCTGGCAATGATCCAGTTGGCAGTTGTTACACCTGTTATCTCTGTTATTCTAACCTTATGTTCTTCTTCCTTTTTAATCTATTTTCTAATTCACAAGCCAGTTCTTAACATTCTCCAATAGTTTTAGGATTTCAGAACTTCAGAAGATACTGTGCTATGGAGAGCTCTGTGCCACACTGGACTGGGAGGACTCTCCTGAGGTGCTCTTCTTGCTGTTAGCCACTCTGTGTAATTGGGATGGTGGTCTTTGCATTCAAGATAATTGGGATGTTTTCTTTTGTAACAGTATTTGGATCGTAGAAAGAGGAAGATGGTATAGATGAATAATCTATTTTGGAAATATTTTTTGTGGAATAGAAATAGTGATAACATGTTATTTTTTTCCCCCCCCCCCCCAAAAAAAAAAAAAACCCACAAAGTCCTGGCTAAATATATGGTACAACCTAAAAATATTTAGGCACTGTAATAGCAACTGCACCCTAATGAGAGCTACATTTGACTAACACCTGCTCATTTAAACTAATTATAGCTATGGTACCTGATTGCCTTCTAATAAAGGCAATCTAGGTCCCTCAATTGCCTCTTATTTTTATCGGGGCTATTCTGGCACAGCATGAAATTGAAGATAACAAGTCTCAGGCACTCAACCAGTGGATTTAGCTAGCCTTGAAAACATAACACAAACAAGTTTCACAATATTG